CATCATCTTCATCAACATCATCATCTTCTTCAACAGCAACAATAATAATTATTTTCTATAATAAATCTATCATATGTATAATAAATCTCTACACACAGGCAGCATTTTCAAATATATAATTATTACAACACATTTCCATGATGAGTATGTTTGTGAGTGCGCATGCGTGCGTGCATGTGGCGACAGATGGTCAACTTTCCTCACAAAGAGAGAGAGAGAGAGAGAGAGAGAGAGAGAGAGGCTCTTTCGCTGATACAAATGGAAGATTTGTCACGTGATCCCCGGGGCCGTTTTAATGACGTCTCCACCATATGGCGCGTGCCGTGAGGGCGTGGCCTCATATGCTAATGCACCCCCCCCAACCCCCAAAGTGTGTGGGTGCTGAATATAAAAGCAGCATCATCTCACACGCACACCTCAGAAATCTCAGAGCAGTTCACGCACAGTCACGCACGGACACGCACATAGAGCGCGCGGGATGCGTGCGATCTGACGGACAACGGCTTGTTACAACAGGTAGGCTTTTTACAGATTAATAACCAATATCTGATTGATTCATTCCTCCTCTGAGTGCTTCCTCAGAGTGATAAATCTAGTTACTAAGCCTATTACTAATTTATACCAAAGTAATCATTTATTAATGTAATCATTAACAGTGATTATATTACTGAGTAATTCGTCTCTTATATCAAAATAAATCTGCATGTGTCTAAATTAAACCAATAGGCTATTCCTTATTTTTTAAAATTCTGATTTTAATTTGTTTAATTATTATGTATTGTTTAGTTTTTATATTATTGGCATGGCTTGTCTTTTATTGTTATGGGCTTTATTCTGTACACATACATATATATTTCTTCTTTCCTGGAATTTAAAAACCACATTTTGTATGTCCGCTCACCTGTCTGTCGGTCGGTTCAATTAACGGGACCAGTCAATGGAAAACGGGAATAAAAGAAGAACAGATTTGATTAGTCAGCATACGCTCAATTAATAGACTATTATTGTTAGTGAATTTATCGTTGCGTTTTAAGACATAATTAATTAATTAGTTAATAAATCTTCCGCTTAAGTTTTTAATATTTCCCCTGCTGATATAAACAATTTAGCCTAGACTTTTCTAGTTAGTTAAAAAAAATGCATGAATTTTCTACAAATTTAAACGGATAAAAACTATTAATTTCAGCGACCAAAGCTGCAGATTTCAACAGCTGAAATAAATAAAGAGCCGGTTCCGTTTCTCTCCGGACAATCTGAAGTTTCTATTTTTGCGACAGGTTTTTCGTTAAATAGGCTATAAAACTAAAGGTTGCACAGATTGTAAAGGCATTCACTCACATTTGTTATTTTGTCCTATAAAAATAAAATGAACTGTTGCGGGATGTAGGTTATTATAACGTCTCCGTCCGCAACGGATTAACGCAGCTGCATATATTTCATTTTTTCTGCACAAGAATCACTCTTGAATTAATTCAATACATTTTCTGAATCAGATATGAATCACAAAGCTGCACAAATTCAAATTTTAACTACATTTCCTACATTTTAGATTTGATTTAAATCAGAACAAAGGATGAGTGTTGAGTGATTCTGCATTTAAAACTTTTTTTTTTCAACTCTTTTCTTGGCTCTCAAGCAAAATGAACGCGGAGCAAAATGTTTGGAGGCATTTTTATTATAAGTTAATGTTAAACGAAACCCTCTATATGGCATTACATGGCCATCTGAAAACAAATGCCATCCGTTCCTCAATGTATGAGAACGTTGCAAATGAAGCGGTTATTTATAACTTTTGAAACATTTAATATAACCTGAGAACATGTTGCAACCAGGCCTCTAATACACACCTATAATACACACTAATTATTTTCTATTAATAATCTCTTGTACATGTCTAAAGAGAGCAGACGTGTGACAGTGAGATTGCTTTCTAATGGACACATTTCTCCCGTCTTTTGTCAGACAGTGAATCAGCATCATGACCAGGTCTGTGCGGGAGGAGCAGGCGTCAGTGGACTTGGAGGAGCAGCAGGAGCTTCACAGTCCCTCAGGAGGAGAGACAGAGAGGGGAGTAGGAGGAGAGGAGGAGGAGGAGGAGGACCACTTCCATCGTCTTGAAGGGGAAGAGGACGACGACGACGACGAGGAAGAGGAGGAGGAGGAAGAGGAGGAGGGCGAGAACAAGCCCAAGAGACGAGGACCGAAGAAGAAGAAAATGACCAAGGCTCGTATGCAGAGGTGAAGGAGATTGATTTCTTAATATATATATATATTTTTTTTTTTTCGGCATGTGAGATCAACTAAAGTTAAAAAACACAAAGTTTGACCTGAGGGGGGCAGTAGTCATTAAACTCTACAGTGTTCATCCTCTGAGGAGCAAGATGTGATTAGTGCATTTTATGGAAACTACTACTATATCAGTGTTGGACCAAAGAGTTGGATATTTTACTAAGCAGGCAGCAGAGCAGAGTCATTTTTATTAAAATACTAAAAGAGAACCATCAAACGTTTGATATGACCTAAAAAACTTACAAAAAAAATAACAGTAACATCAGGCTT